TATAGAATCGACAGTAAAAAGTAATCGTATCACTGTTTACTTCTCTCTTCTGTCATTCTGTCTAAACATTCCTTAATTCCGTACAGAACCGCGATTTATCTGTCACGTTAACAGCAAGAGGAGAAGGTACTTCCGTTTTCGACTAACACCTCGCAATACAGCCTCACTCTCACCTGGCCATAATTCACCATTAACATTTCTTTTGTAAACACAGCTGTGTCGTGTATCCATTTACGAGCTCTGGTCACGTCCAACCTCGAGCTATTTTTTTCCTTCACTTTCGCAAAACAGTTTCGCTTGCGATTCCTCCAGGTTACTCGAGCATCGACCTTCTCTCGCCGTGTCTCGTGGCGGACCTGAAACACGGGCAACCGGATTGGAAGATGACGACGCATCGAGGTGTACACGATCACCACTCGTCGAGATGTTGCAGATTCCACGAGTGCGCCGTGTACCAGCAACACAGGATCGGGTGTCCCGATTGTTACGGACACTCGGAGAGCGTGCCGTTGCTCCTTCACGGTGAAGATCGGTCAGCTTCCATCCGGTTTCAAAGGATCCAGCAGTCGTCGTCGTCGATGCCTCCCACGTGGTAGCTTGCGAAACTAAAACCGCCATCGTTTCGACACGGTGGCCTCGATTTAACCCTTTGCCTCGCAGTTTTCTCTTTCCAGCGACTCGACCGTCTTTTCAATCAAACCCGACGAAGTTAGTTGCTCGTGATTTGAATACTGTGATAAGCGAGAAATATCGAAGTATCATCCGTGACTTGCGTTAGGTACATACAGTCCAGTTAAATACGGAGTTGTGGTTAAAATTTATCGGAAACATTTGCATTGTTGTTCTCGTTAGAAGTGTTTTTTAATCTTTTCGACGTTCCAAGGCAAGGAATTAAATTTACTGGTTGATGTACCGCGGATGGAAACTAGCAATGAAAGCTTCTGTAACAGATTTTTAATTGTCGTAGAAATGTAGAATGCGGTAGAATCTTTTAGGAAATAATTGAGGAGTTTTCTGAAAAAATGGGCTCGCATACAGATCCCTGATTTTTATGGAAGGAATGTTGGAACGAAATTTGGTGGGAAGATTTCTAAACATATCGCGGTTAATTAGAAAAGGACACGTAGATCGGTGGGTCTCTCTTTCAGAAAACTGCTCGATTGTAAAGTGAAGATGAAGAGAGTAGTAGCATTGTGTTCGGTAAATTTTATCCACTTAGGAAAACGTTCCTGGGAAAGGAGGCTCCCTTTGTGGATCGTTCTCGGTAGACTTTATGCTCCCTGTTCGATAAGTAGTGCGCGAGTCAATATTTTTGGAGAAAAGAGTCGATAAGGAGAGATATCGTGGTCTTGGAGGATTGATCGATAGGGGTCAGTCGATCGAAATGAAATGCAAGTCCGCGGAAACAGTGGCCTCGATATTTTTAGAAGGTTAATGTACTCCATCACGTGCTCGAAAGCACATTGTTTTTTTTTGTTTTGCTGCGATTCTTCTTCCCCCCCCCCACTTTTTTTTTTTATTTTAGGCGGACAGACCTGTACAAAGACGCAGAGACAAGACTAACGTGGTCTAGATGCATTTGTATAGATAATTAATAATCGATCTAGAAGACTTTCGACGACATTTATTTTTTTTTGCCTGCCATTTTGCGATACGACGGCATTTCAAGTATCAAGATTACTATCATTCTTTACTCCACAGAGAAACGCCTTAGGGAGGTGTCTTTCTCCTTTTGTATTTACACTTTATTAACGATTAGTAAAACGACATTAGTATTCTTACTTTATCTGCAGTTTTTAATTTTTTTTTTTTTCCTTTTCGCAGAAGAAAATCATTTTTAGAGAGAGCTTTACTTGTCGTTAGTAAATGTTGCAACGATGCGATCGAGAATAACGTTGTTACGTGTTAGATGTAAGAGTTTTAGAAATGTTTAGATGAAGTTGTTCTTAGACCGACAACAACGATATCACAATTTTATGTCAATTGATGGTTTCATCGTCATTTTTCGCTCCGTGTCGAGGAAACATTTCAGTGTTTTATATGACGAACTTTTACACTAGAATTTAATCACTTAGTCAATTAACAACTCATCGATCAATGTTAAGGAATTTTACACGTTTTGTATTTTATCATTTGTTCTTTCTTTCTTCTTCGCACGTATCTGAGAAATTCCATCACTCCTTTCTGTTTTGATAATTACAACCTAAGTAATCCAGAAGATAAAGTTTATCCTAAGTTATAGATTTGTTTTTTTTTTTTTATACGTTGGGATCTGTCGGCCACGACACAAGTTAAACGATACAAAAAGTACTCTATTTTCCAAGAAATAAGAGAGCAAGAATATTATTTTTCTCGTAACATTGTACATAAAATAGTTAGAATATTGTCGAATTACAATAAGAATAAGTGAGATGAAGGGTGAATAAATAATGTTGTTACAGAAAGGGTGTCAATAAACTAGCACCAAACCTTTGTGAAATATTATATTTTTTTAATATCGTGTATATGTACATACGTTGTGGTTTCTCTTTTCTCGACGAGATTCCCGCAAGAAACTTGTTCCTTTTCGTGTAAACGTTCTTTTCTCAAAATATACAATATTATATTGTACAGTACGTCGATTCTGCTACATTGTACATGTATGTAATTCTTGCTAGCAGGATATACGACGTACCATTTCCGTCTTTTCAGAAAACCGTCAGCTCATTGTGTTCTTTCGCGCCAGGATAAATGTGACTGGTTGTCTTTTCTCTCCTGGAAATGTATTAGATTGTTACTTCTGGTGGGTGCATTTACACACACGGTATTTCGACCTTTAGGTGTCACGTTGTTCAATTTCGAACAGTTCAAGAAGAACCAGTGAAAAAATGTGAATTTTTATAATGTCGTCTGTTGGTTAAATTCATCGAAGAATTCTGCTGCTTTGTACAATTTCAAAATGAAAATTATACAGGCTGAGTGGCGTAAAATAGATCACCTAAGTGTCTTCTCTAGTTATGGTTGTGCGAAAAAATTTGTTAAATTTTCAATTTTTTTGGTACAATTTGTTAACATCTGTAACGAAGATTTGTTTGTTTCTTTTTTACCAACGAATATTGCACGAGTTACGATAGATCGGAGGATTTAGATTTATGGAGCGAGAATGATTTAAGCGGAAATGTTGCGTTCCTTCGATAACACGGTTGTCAGAGCTTGGAAAAAATAATCCGGAATCACTTAATCATAAATAATGATACAGGTTGACAAATATTATTCCAGGCACACACGGCCACGTTCCTTTCGCTTTCATTTTTCTTCGGCTTTTCGTTCGTTTTCCCTTCCTTTCTTTTCTTTAGCTTTTATTCAGTTTTACCAGATTTCTATAATCTCCTTTAGTTCCCTGCAATCTTCTTTTCTTCAACCTTCCTTAATCTACTACAGTATTTTTCAATTATATTCAGGTTCACTTCAGTTCTTCTTTTTTTTTTTAAGTTTCCTACGATTTCCTCTAATCGTTCTTCAGCTTCCCTTAATCCTTTTCATTTTCCACGGTATTCTTCAGTTTTACTCATTTCACTTTAATTCCTCCATTTTCCCAGTTTCTGTATAGTTTTTCAGCTTCCCTGGTACTTTCCACTTTTATTTCATTTCTCCTTGTCTTTTTCAGTTTTCTTCGGTCCTCTTTCTTTACCTTTTCACAATTTTCTCCGCATTTTACTTATCTACAACATTTCGGCGCACCTTTCTGTGCAGCAAAGAAGACAAACCATTTTCCTGAATACGAACGGAAAATGATTCGTAAAAAGGTACTCGTTACCTAGAAAATATCCATTAATTTTTCTTTACTCTCACTTTTACTTAAAATTTCTGGAAAATTAGCGTCGAAATTAAAATAGCCGCTCTAGTGT